CACAGACACACCCGTCCCCACCAACGCCCCCCGCGAGACGGCGCCGCCAGCTCCGTCTGCCGCCCACGCATTCGATCTCTAAAGCGGATGGCCGCGTCCGCCGGCATTCCCAGGGTGTGACCTTGATTGATCGTTGCGACACAACATGACCCGTCGACACCCCTAATTGGCTAATTGGCTTGTAAAATCCATTTTTAATTCCCGTTAATTGCGGGGCGCTGAGAAGCGAGTTTTAATTAACTTAAATTCGAGAACGTTTATGCATAAATGCATTAGCGCCTAATGGAAACATCAATATATTCCATTTACACGAAAATTATCATCTCTGCAACACTTTTTTAAACGCTCCAGACATGTAATACATTTACACGTCAAATTCTACAAACATCTGTGTACTGCCTTTAAACTACCTCCACTTAAGAATTAAATTCTCAATATAGTGATGAAAAATTAATGAAAGAATTCAAAGTAAGCTATTTACTCGGTCCAATTACTTATCATACACACTTCTACACTAACTCCATTAAGCCCATTGCATTCCATCAAATGCCACCCATGTGTGCGTCGTTTCATTCTTTAAACACCACTGTTTTGTTATAATGTATCGTTTATTCACAGAATGACCGTATGTGAAGCCCTCATACACAAGATAACCCCACTCCAGTTCCTTGATCGAACACTTGATAAAAAAACATTTAATGAAAAATGTGTATGCAAGCAAACACACACACACACACACACACACACACACACACACACACGGGTTTGTTATTTTGTATAATTTCAAATGAAATTAAAGAATCATGTGTAAATTAAGTGTGCTTTGTAATTTTTCAATTAATTATCATATAGCTCAAAACCTATTTTATTTTGTCAATATCTGTAGCAGCAAATACAATTTTGCACTGCTAAATGATACTCCTTTCGCTTTTTAGAGAATTCTGTTATGAAGGTCTTTGTTTCAGTATTACAGGAAACACACCTCCATCCCAATCACGTAACAGTTTTACTGGTCTTAGTCAAGCGCCTGGCGTCCATACGCCATACGCCGCCAACTGAACCTTGGCTGTTCCTTCCGTCAACAATCGCGGAAAGACGTCTCTATGGATTGGAGCGCTTCCACACCAGCGGTTCGGCGACCGCGTGAAGTAACAGCATCGTTCGCTCACGCCGGACGCCTCGAGCAGCGGGGGGAGCGAACTGTGCCAGGCGCGCGCGGGGACTGTGGCGGGCAGAAGGAGAGGCAGCACAGAAGCGGTGGCGGAGTGCCAGAGCCACGGCAGCACACGCCAAGGCAGATCTGCGGGCTCGCGGCCAATAGCACCAAAACACTCACCTTCCGACGTTCGAAAGTGCATTCACAAACCAGACGATTCGTGGCGAAACGAATAAAAATAAGCATTTGAAGATCAAGGCAGATTTTAAAAAGATTTTTTTTTATTATTCTAAATATACTAAACATGTTAAAACCTTCCACGTATACACTGAGAAAATGCAGAAATGCATTCGTCAGTACGTGGGAAGATTCATTGAAAGTTTACACTCAAACACCTTTGTTATTTCCTCGAACTGAACTGAAAAATGTTAATTAGATGTACTTTGCAACGTCGGAGTGAAGAAAACGTAATAAAAACCCAAACACCCACAGTAGCGGTTTGAACATTCCTTGCAAAAACGTCGCTATAACCCCCTTTCGCGTAAAATTAATGTTTCAAATAACTACCAGCGACAACCTCAATTTTACTTTTTACTCAATTATTTCCACTCGCTAGAAAAAGAGCACAAAGCGGATGATTTTGTTTCGCTCGTTACCCCAACACACTGAGTAAATACTAATATTTAATTACACACTCTGTTTTTCTTTCCATTTGGACGGTATTCCATTTCAGCCGTTCTCGTTTTCCTCTCATCCCTCAGATCTGCCTCGACGTGGCCCGCCACCATCTGGCGCTCCTCCCGCTCTTCCCGCCCTCTGCGAGGAAGGCGGGGGTTGCTTGAGTTCCACGGCATTGGACAGCCCAAAGCACATATTTGAACGTTCTAAATTGAACACGCCACCAGACATTAAGGCGTTGTGCCAGTGTATAGTGACGTCTGAATGCAGTTTGACGCTCGTAAGAGGGCAATATTAAAGAGCGCGGTACGTAAACAAGTTAATCATTGTGAAAATTGTGCAAAATAACATGGCTTTTTTTTGCCGTCTGAAGGACAAAATGACCTAGAGTTAAGCCAAGCACGAATCATGCTTTGAGTTAACAAATAGGGCTTCATGAGTCGTACCAGTTTCCAAAATGCGACGAGTTTACAAACACTTCACTGCCGCCCTTCAGTTGAGAAAAGGGGCGTAGGGTGGCCTTCGAGAGGCAAGGGCCGGGGGCCGGGGGCCGGGGAGCACGCCCTTCCGTCCGGGAGGCCGTGCGCGTGAGCTCGGGGCATGTCCAACGCCTCGCGAAGCAAAGTGTGGTGAGCGAGGGGGGCGGGGGGGTGTAGTGTACTTACGTCCGGGCGAGCGCCCCAGAGGCGCGGCGTTGGCGGCGGCGACGGTGGCTGCGTGGGCGGCGCGCGGGGGCTCGCGGCCCGCGGGGCCGTGCCCGCGCGCGTGCCCGTGCCCATGGCCGTGCGACGTCACCGAGTTGGACGAGCCGTCGCTCAGCGGGCTGGCCGAGCGGCCCGCGTCGCGCTGTTTCTTCGACGCGCCTGCAACACACAACGGAGCAACACCTTTAGGCAGCTGTCTTGTCATACCCTGGTTGGACTTAAACATGGGCGAGGTTCAGAAACATATGGTCGGATAAATCCAGATACCGGCTAAATGCTCCAATACTACTAAGTTGCCAGTACTGTGGTGTTAAACAAGGGCGACGTTCGGAAACATATGGACGGGTAAAATCGGTTTCTACCTAGATGGTCAACTACTAAGAGTAGTTGATACTGAAATTGGATTTTCACATATTCAAGGGCGAGGTAGAGAAATGCAAAAAGGAACCAATACAGGCACTGCGCATACAGAAGTTACGATCTATTAAAAGAGTAGTTTGTGTACATGTATAATAGCTCTTAGACATGCAGACCCAATTATGGATGTGTCGAACTGTTTTTTATACAGGATTTATTTAAACAAAACTATAATTCGTGCTACACGATAATTCGTGCTAGCAGAGACAGTTTTAATAGAAGTTCAAAATTATATAGTCAATACGATGATTGCAGTAAAAAATTATTTTAGTGGCAATAAACATAACATCCGAAATGTTACTTACAAAACTAACGGTAATTTGCATTCTAATATGCAGCGATACGGTTTGTGCCGTATTTAATTATCATAGTAGGGCCCTACATAATGCTTGACATTATGGTCTAAGAATATTTCATTTGAAAATGCTTTTCAAACACCAGAACAACGCTTTCTTCATTTTCAATGCGTCACGTCAATCCTAAATGAATTCACACGTACTATGTAAAGTTCAAACATTTACTTTGAAAGAGATTATTAACAACCAAATATAACTCAATTTTCTTCACTGTGCGAGAGACAAAGGGAACGCTAATCCACTTGTTTCAACTATAAAGGCCTATGTTCATGAAGAATTGAAAGGGTAATTAGCGGGCGTTGTAACTTTTTCTTTATAACGGCTTTATCACTTATTTCCGCTCGTGCTACTTCACTTTTCTTTTATTTCCAACAGACATTTAGGCATACCAGCATGAGTGGTGTCAGCTTTCCAATATCGAGCAGTATCAAATGCGACAGCAGATGAAAAACTAAACATAACCAAAAGCAACAAATTAAAGGCATTTCCGCCGCTCATAATTAATCTCAAGTCACTCGTGCACTGTGATTAGTGTCTTAATCCAATTCATCTTGACAACCGCATGTTCCCTTAATCGCCTTGCACATCCTTGTATTAGCGTTGCACATCCTACTTTCCTCTTAATTTTAAAATACTTTTTTTTTCTTCAGAAAGTCGGAGCTACGTAATAACACATACACAGATAAGGGAGGACCTAGGAACTTGACAACTTTTCTTGAAACGGCAATTTATAAAAGCATTACCAGATCTTCGTTGGAAGTGGCTAGGAGGAAGCTGTCGTAAACTCGCGTTTACTTAAACTTGTGTTCAATCCTGCTACTCGAATTTATACGTCGACAAAATTGCAAAAGCAGAGCACGGAAGAATTTAAGAGTAAGGACACTGCAACTCACGCTCGAATTGAAGCAAATCCAAATATGAAATATCACTGGATAGTTCGAACTAGGAATATTTCCTCAGAGCTCGTAAAAACAGAGAGGTTATAATTCTTTAATAAATGCCGTAGATGAATTTCTAAACAGAGATAACGATAAAAAACGAACGAAAAGAACTTCGACAAAATTTCAAGGGATTGAATGCAGAAAGGATAAAGTTTATTACAAACAATATTTTTAGAGTACAAGAGGATTAAGGCATTTCGCTGATATGCATTTTTTACGCGTCTCGGTTTCATGCACATTTTAGAGCGGTTGAAACTCTTCCCATTCATTCTTTGGTTTCACCCTTCCCCTGCTTTTAAATTTTTTATATCATCTCCTAGAACAAATCAATTCATCTAACCGGAAAGAGAAATCTCCTCAATTCGCGATAGTAAGCATCTTTAGTCCCACGTATTTTCGACCCCCTAGCTCGATCTCCAATTGTGTGCTTTTCTTTCTCTCACTCCCTACTTCCTTCAATATTTTCACTGCAATTGCTCATCTCCTCTGCACAACGTGCTCGATCTCTTTACAAACTGCAGCTACGTTATTTCCATTTATGAGCGATATCTATTGTGGCATACGAACGTTGACTTACCAATGTCAAAAGCCGTTGGCTAGCTACAGATACCTAAAACGACACAGTCTAGATTGTCAATGAATGAAAAACCAGTCACCTCTCCAAGCTGACAACGCAACGTGATGAGCGCGAGTTATCTTCCACGGGCAGATTACGAACCCCGACTCGGTTCGACTAAGTCGACATATGGCGACCTTAGACGGAGTTTCGATTTTTCAGTTGCGTGCGGTAAAACTATTTTGCATCTTTAAACGAGGCCATTAGGAAGTCAGCACGGAAATCATGTGGTAAAATAGCACACCTCATATGTGTATCTTGAATTCGCTTTTTGTACAGACGTCGAAAGCTGTATAAATGAAAGGATTAGAAATCTGGATTTTGTTATATACAGACTGACTTGTGAAATGCACGAAACAAGTCAAAAAGTTACCTCATAAAAACCATTGGCTAACAGTTATATAAATTAAAAGTAGCAACCCCCCGTTTCTTCCATTTTGTTTACAACAAACTACCCTTCCAAGCCTGCGGAAGTTTGCCGATGTGTTTTTCAAATTTAGGTCCTTTGAAGCACGTTCGGACGGCGCTCGAGTGTCCACAGAGTAACACAAGCAACGCAACTCTAAGAAGAGCAAACATCAGCCGAAGCATCGCCGTGCGCCGAGGCGCGATGGGAACGCCCCCCGCGCGGCGCGAGCGTTGGGTGGGTTGCGTCCGCCCCTGTGGCGCAAGCCGGCAATGTTCAGTCTTGTGGCCGCGGTCACAGTAAAGCTAATTTTTGACCGAAATTTCGGTTGGCAGACGTCTGACGTTTACGTCCAATGAGCTGGATTCGTGCAATAAATTTGCTGGTAAGCGTAAATTGTCTTAGTGAACCCGTACGACCACTTCCGACAGCATTCGAAAATATCAGATGTCGGCCAGAAGATCTGTTGATACTGTCTGTTCCATTCGCTCGAAATAAGCTGGAGAGTCAACGCTTTCTGCAGTACAATGACCATTCGCAACACATTAGATATCTTGACCGACATTCTAGCAATTTTTTCAAAAAACGAACTGTGGATTTGGGGAATAGTATTGATTACAGGTGCATACTTCGCGTGTTTTTGAGAAGAAGAAGAAGAAAGTTGGACGATTTCGTCCGCAGTCGCCCGGTAGAGACCGACCGCAAATCTAAAGTCCACCCTTTGTTGACCAAAGGGAGTACTGAAAATCGAGGTGCACATTCGATTCGACTGCGTAATATTAGTGTTTCACGCTTGTAATTTATTGTATTAACAAACTCATTTTGAACGTGTACTTTCCTTATTTTATGTTCACTCATTTTCTTCTTTAACAAAGATTCATCAAACTTTAAGACACAATCAATTCTGTAATCTGAGATTTTATGAACACGATAAATCCATTGTTGTAATACGTAAATTTAAATAAAATACCGTACCTATTATTCTGTCATTGATGCTCATTACATTCAATGCGATCCATTTTCATGTTTTTAAGTTTCAAATGCCGGGTGCGCGTTAAATTCGCGTAAATACGGTATATTTCGGCCGCACTGGCAGCGGCTTTCGTCGCCGCCGCAGCCGCCACGGCCGCCGCCGACAGATCGATAGCTGGCGCTGCGCCGCAGACTGGGGCCGCAAGCTCCGCCCGGCGGCGTCGCGGACTCCGCCCCCGCACTCCTGTCATCCCAGACGGCGGGAGGCACGCCGTAAAGCGGATCCCACGGCGATATCATCGCGACGGGCGACAACGGGACTAGTTACGATCGATTAACCCCATTCCGGAGGTAGCGGCGCCGGATGATCCGTCGCTTCAACGGTTCCCTTTCGCCGCGCCGCGCCGCCCCCGCCGCCCGCGAGGCCCCCTTCGGGCGCTCGCGGAGAGCGCGATCGCCGCGCTGGGCCACCTCTTCGAACTCGCGAACAACGTGCACTAGAGGAAAACATTACCATGCTAGGCGAGGTAGAAAACACCTTGAATACCGCGGCATTCGATTTGGAAAATTAACATACGCACCGTCTGCCCTTCAAATCTAACTTTCATACAGGACGTGGTGTTCGTGAGGATAAACACTACATAAGCAATAGTTATATTTGCATACATCTAAAGTCGCGCCTAGTCGATTTCAAATCTGGTTATGTCATGTTGCATCAGCATCAGTTTCCTGTCCTTTACATAGTCATTTCATCCATTATTTAGACAGCACCGTCTGCGACTCGACATCGACGATAAATTACATCTTTTCCCCGAGTATCTTTTAGCATTGAATAAATAATTACAGGTTTCAAGACTGCTTCAGGCCAATGACAAGGTGGCCCGAGCTCTTACGATAATAAGAAAAATTAAAAACCCTTTATGTCCACTAATCATATAAAAGAAGTGTAACTTCAATCTAGAAGTAGATTAAGACGCTCTCCATAATACAGAAGACAGACGCGTCATCAGTTCCACCACACGTCAAAACGCGAAGGCGTGTTTTATAGTGCAACCCAATTATAATTGTTCCTAAAAACAACTTGCGACTTCTCGCCAACATGTCCAACTGAAGGCTGATAATAGCAAGGGTGGTGGGGCTCACTGGCAACAAATATTTAACTACGAAGAAAAACCTCCATCCCTCTCTGCTAGAACGCAATGGTGGTACTTAACACTCACGACAGTTCTCAGTCCTCCCACGTGGCTCTCGCGCGAAACACCATCGCCAACTCTAGTCGCTTTCGACGTCAACCCACCGCTAGTCTCACAAAGTTAATACCCAACATCAGGAGCCCGTCTTGGCAAACTGGGTTCCATGAAAAGCATTGAATTTGCGACTCTACCCGATGAATTTGCGAACTTGGCTACGAAAACAGAAAGAGGTATCTAATATTTGCAATAACTTTAAATCTAGATTGATTGACATGTTATCTCCTGTTTCAGGGAGTGTCAAGAGCTTTAAGCATTAATCCCATAAGTGTAGTGTGTTTTATCGCGGGAGATGACAGTGTTCATCGCTGATGAATGGTGACATCCGACGCCGAATTTCATATCAGCTTGCAGGATTTTCGTCCACGCAGCGGCGGCTACTACTGCCCTCTAGGCAGTGACTGAAGTCGACTTATCTATCCAATTAGTATCAAAAATCCTGTAAGCGTCGGGTCTAGAACCTTAGGACTTCCTGGTCAGAGACACTGCAGCGACATTAGCTGATGCCCTGAGCCATATCATCCGGTTACTTTCTCTCAAAAAGATGCTGTACGTACAAGCAAATTATCTTTATTAGTAATTTCGAATATACGCCTAAACACTAAGCAGCCCAGTGGCATGTTGAGCTGTCAATGGCTTCGATAAAACTGGCAGATACGCTCGAAAAAATTAAAAACATCCATATTATTAATATTAAAAGAATGGATAAATTGACGGACAACTCTGTTGCCTTTGGCCACGAGAGAAGCATCAATGGTATCGTCAGAAGCCTAAGGACAATGAAAAAATACAAAAACAATGGAAGCTTCGATTTTGACTGAAAAATGTCAATATTTGTTCATGGTAATCCGCTATTTCTCATACGTGATGTTATGAGTAAATTCTGGTACTCGGCGAGTCATTGCTTGCGACACGATGACATCATGCGATGAGGAAGAAAACATCTATAGTTTTCACGCGTGCCGTTTCAAGATCAGCAATTTCTTTTGCTCAGGGCAACATGAGACAAATCAGCAACAAAAATAGCGTACATTGTGATGTCAAAGATTAATAGAAAAGTAAAGCGTATTGAATTTAAAGCAATGAATACCCCATCTTCTTGGGGTAAAATTTATTTTCATAATTAAAAATAATCGTCATTCAACTTTTTCACAGATGTAAAATGTTAAGACACGTATTCCAGACTCACTACAACACAACTACGCTTCGGTCAATTAGTTACACTAGTTTTCCACATTATTTAGCACACATTTAGAATACATTTCCTTTCCCTTTCTCCCACCTCTCCCGTTTTCATTTCTTTTGCCATTTCCCTCACTCTTCCCATACAGTAGAAAATCGCAATGTTAATGATGGATAAATATAGCCCAAACTTCCAATATGCAAGCAAAAATATGTGTGGACGGAGTCGTGGTTGGGGACACGTTCCGAAGTCACTTCATCTAAGAAATCCCATGGACGTCCGAACTCATGTGCACAGTGAATCTCGGCAACGACCTCATCGAGAGCGCGCGTGGGGCGCAGCTCGCAGGCGATGGGCAGGCGATGGGCAGGCGATGGCCACCTGCCAGCTGGGGCCGGACTTTCGGGTGACCGCGGCTGAGCTCGTCCTCGAGGGGATAGAGATTTCAAACAATACCCCTTTTTATTTGAGGACATACATGGCCGTGTTTGCGCGAGTTTTGATCGAAAATCGATTTTCTCCGCGAGGAATGGCCGCTCCGCGTATTCAAGAGTTGGACATTGACAAGCTCCTATTAGAGCACCCGATAATGCATAAAATAAAACAAGCTCAAAAGTTATGTGGGGAAATGTAATATCACACATAATGCGAAATACTAACACTGGCTGACCATTAACCCAGTACTAAAAAAAAATATTACCCAGGTTTTAGAACAACTGATAGCAGAATGCTGATTTTGCTTCACTATGCGCACATTTAGTTCAGCTCCCCTTTAAATGTTTGCGTTAGGCGTAGCGCCGGGGGGATATGTTAATATTTTCTTATAAAAACCACTCAATTTTATAATTCGTGCAAATTATATATGTATAATTCAGCGAAAATGTCTGTTTTGTGTCGTCTTGGCATCGAAAACAATAATAGATGAAAGTGGCTGATGGTTCTGGGCAATTCGAAAAAAAAATACTGGATACTTTATCTCACTAGAATTCATTTTTGAAAACAACGATGGCTCCGGAAACAAATTGACGCGAAGAAAACATCGCACATAAAACATCGATATTAATACACCGATATTTCTGGTCGAAAATATCGGCTGTTCTTTTGCCATCTAGGCGTGGGCGTGGTGGCTCGGTCGCGCTGCCTGTCGGGGCGCGTCGCCGCCGCCGCCGTCATCGTCTGCCACCGCGCCGGCGGAGCGCGACCCGCGCCAGCTGCGCCCGCGAAGCCGTGACGCCGCCACGCAGCCCGCCCGCGCCCGCGCCCGCACGCATCCACGCGCTCACGCACGCGCACACACGCACGCCACACGTGCCACATGATGCCGCGGCGGGGAATCAGATCTTCGGGAAGCCGTCGAGGCGAAACTGCGTTCTGGACGGCTCGATATTGCGCGTACAAGCCCTACTTGTTCACGCAGAAATCCGATCAATATTAACTTGAAGGCTTTTTTTTTAGGTTTTGCTTGGGTTTTGCTCTGTCGTCTGCAATAACAATAACATCTATAAGTAATAACTTATTTACGTAATATAACATTAAGATTGCGCTACAACGATTCTTAGGCCTTGACACCCGTGCCCTGAAAATGCTGATGTCCGCCGGAATTACGGCTTACAACGACGTATTAATTTATAGTACAATAACATTCATTCGTTGTTTTCTTCTTCAGTTGCTGACGACTATTTGATGAATAGTGATATTTCAACAGCAAACACAGAGACTCCTGCACTTTAAAAAATTAAATATTAATTAACATTTTTAATTTGATTTTTCAACCCTTTTGAATAGTCAGCATTATAAAAATTACAATTTCCACTTTATATGATAGTACATAGAAGAGGAAATATAGCTACGGAAAGGAAGAATACAATGTTAAGAAATGACGCGGAACTAATGGTATTGTACAGGATTTTCCTACAGATCGACGTTCAGAATTTTTCCAAATATATGTATATAAATTATACACAAACATTTCGAAAATGTATACAGTATCACTTGTAGAAGAAGCATTAAAAAACTGAGTGGTGAACAATTTCGTGTGTCTACGTGTTTTTGAGAAACTATCACACAAAAACGATCAACTGCATTTTAAACAAAGAATTGCGGGGTTTACTTGATTTACAGCAAGAAAATCAATGTACACATTCAAGGATACTAGGAAAAAAGTACACCGTGTTTTAATCAAATTCACCTTAGATGCATACCTACAACAGGATGACATTAGTTCATACCTTTTCTTTTAGTAGTCGATTCTCTTACGTCAACACTTACAAACGCATCCATCTCGCTGCTTAACCTTGTTTTATATTGTCAAGATCAAATTGTAAATTATCAAGAGCCTTCTCGATCTTTACAGAATGCTTTTGTTTTGATGCACCATCACATGAATTTTTCTTCGCAGTATATTCATATATGCAGGACTTTTAGACCTTCAAATGCGCCACTGACCGGTTCCAGACGGAGGAAAATCTCCACGTGGATAATTCAAGGGCACGAGTAGAAGCGAAAACAGTTTTAAAAATCATCACCATCACTATTTATCATATGGATTACAGGATATGGATTATGGATACGTTAGCCCAGATATGACTCCCAAGAAATGTCGAAAGTGGTAATCCAATGTCCTATCACTTCCCATCTTCATAAGAAATTCGCTGATCCTAATTTCCACATGTTAATTTATAAATAAAGCTCTCGTGTGTAAGTAATGGTATCTGGAATTTTGGACAGAAAGAAGATTGGCTTAGGTGATAAGGAGGGAGGAAACAAGATTGGTATTTGCGATAAAGAGGGATTTAAAGAAGGGAAACAAATGGCAGTGGTAATTCGTTCGCACATTTTGTTTGCCTCTCGTTAAGTCCACCCCTTTT